GTAATTACACTTTGTTCATTTTATTGACAGTATTACATTGGATTTAACTGACAATATTCATCTTAATTAATTTGATTAATCATGATTTAATTAATAATATTGTTTATATGCTGAAAAATTAGTTGTAGTTAGAATTAGTGTAAAAATGTTCCTGAGTTGTCATCTGTACTCTGTAGTTACGTGCTAAACAGAAAATCTTGAAGAGTAAAATTTACTCCCATCATAGTTACATTTTCAGAGGTTTTTATACTCTATCTAGAGTAAATTTTTTACTCCACAAGATTAAAATGTACTCAATTTAGTATAAAGTGAAAACAACTCCAACACCATTTCATTCAATGCAGAGTTGTATTTTACTCTGTACAGAGCAGTAACTGCCTCAAAATAGAGGTCCAATCCTACTATTAATTGAACTAGAATGCCTCCGCATCATCTCTTTTATCTTATGGTGTTTGTAAATGAAGTCTAATGTTTTCAAAATTGGGATATAAACACATTTATCAGTAACAACAACTGGATCATAAGTTCCAGTAGTCCGATTGCGTCGTGTATCAAATCTTGTACCAAGAAAACATTCAACAGGTTCCACCCTTCCCCACTTCTCTGTGAAATACTGCCTTCTCTTAGTTTCAGAATTTAAGAGACCAAAAGGATTTTCAACTTTTTCAAAGCACTGATCAATTTTAAACTCAACCTCACTTTTGAGAGGTTCCTGTAAAGATAGACATTGCTTCACAGATTATTTTGCCTGATTATGGATCTCATCAACAATCTCTTCCATTGAAGTAACCAAAGAGTTAATGATTGTTTCACCTACACCAGCCACTTTAAGTTCAGCCACTGTTGCAGCACAGCTGTCTACGAGACTCTTATTAAGAAGGACTGGGTCAGAAAGAGGACTGTTTGATGGAAAGTCATCAGCAAAGCTTCCAGATAAATTTTCAGTTGTAGAGGGGCTTTCACCAGGATCATCACAAGGTTCATGTGCTTTAAGATGCTTTCGAAACCCAGAAAAAGTACCAAAGAAGTGCACAGTAAAAATGGCGGTGGTGAATTAACACCCACAGTGTTAATTTTAACACCCACAAAGTGTCTATATGTGTCCAAGTCAGCTGGTGTTAAAGTAACACTTTTCAAAGTGTTAAAAGGTTAACACCTATTTTTTTGTTCAATTAACACCAGATATTGTTAATATTCAACAATACCGAGTGTCACATTAACATTACAACGGTGTTAGTGTTAAAATATAATGTCAAAAGTAACACTAATGTAGTTTTAACCTCAAATATAATGTCGTGTTAAAAAGGTAAATATTTGACCCCACAAGGTGTCAATATCAACCAAATCCAGTGGTAAAAAAATATTCAAAACAATACACAGAAATGGAAACTTGAGTGAGCATGATAGCCAAATCAGTGCTGCTTCGCCACTTAGCCTAGCCTAGCTCTGATTTAGCTATCAGGCTCACTCATGTTTGCAGTATTGGTCTTTGGTCATGTAGTAAAGAGGCAATCTTTTCCTATGAAGATGCGCTTGGCTCTCGGTTTCCGTGCAGAGTCCGACGCTCCAGCGCTGTCAGGTGTTTCTGAAGTGATCATAAAATCCAAAAACTCAAGTCTCTTCTGGTACAAGAGGTTTATTTTCTCTTAGTCCAACCAGCATTTCCAAAGACTTGAATCGTCTCACCACATTAGGAAGCGACAGGCAGATCACATCGGGTCCTTTTGCATAACAAAAACACAGTTTAGCAGCGCTTGGCAGCGTCTAAAACTGTACGGCTGCGTGCCTGAAAACCAGTGGCCCAATAGCCAACACTAATATAGTAAAATATAGTCCAGGTGCTGCATCACCTGTCTTTAAAGAGGAGCGTACCTGAGCATCAGCAACAAGCACAGCCAAAGAAAATCTAAACAAACAACAACTCCAAAATGTAGCTTACATTCTCCCAAATGTAACTGTAACGCAGGTTTGTTTTGTGTCATCAAGGCCGTTATAGATTGCTTTTTATTCTGCGTTATAGTCACAAAGTACCGTTTGGTGTTTTACCCACTTGAGCTGAAATGCTAGTAGCTTGCCTTAGCGGAGTAAACCGTGATTACTGCTCATATCAGAGCACATTACACAATGATTGTGTACCTCGAGAGCTGCCGTAGCGCTTAAAAAAAAAAAAAAAAAAGTAGTTGCAGGGACACTGTGCGGGAAATCCCGCACAGTGTCCCTTTAAAAGAGTATTGTCACACATTTTCATTCCAGAATTTGTGTTGCACTTAACAAAAAACAACAAAAAACATTGTAATCACAAAGGCAGCCTTTGGTTTTCTGTGTCAAACAATGTCCAATAGAAAAC